GTTGTCCTGCTTATGTGCATGTACCTGCTGATGAGAGATCCAAACTTGATGCAAAATCGAAGGAGTGCATTTTTCTGGGTTACAAGAAAGGTGTCAAAGGATTCAAGTTCTGGGATCCAGTTGCGAAGAAAGTTGTGATTAGTAGAGATGTCGTTTTTGATGAACAATCCATGTTGCAGCAGAAGCAAGACACGACAGTGGTGGATTTCGAGCAGTTTCCAGTTGAGAAACCAGAAACTTCTCAACCGACTTCTGGTGGTTCCACTACGGATGATTTGCAGGATTATAGTCTCGCCAGAGACAGGGTGAGACGGACGAATATAAAGCCTCCGAACAGATTGGGTTTTGAAGACTTGGTATCTTTTGCACTTACTGTTAGCAGTGATGATCCAGTTACTTTCATGATGCCGTTACTAGTCAGGAAAACGACAAGTGGATGGCAGCCATGGTTGAGGAGATGGAGTCTTTGAATCACAATCGCACATGGGAGTTAGTTCCCCTTCCTGAGGGTAAGAAGCCGATTGGTTGCAAATGGGTGTATAAGAAGAAACCAGCAGTAACAGAAAAAGAGGGGGAGAAGTTCAAGGCTCGTTTGGTAGCGAAGGGTTTTTCACAGCAGAAAGGAGTTGATTATGATGAAATCTTTTCTCCTGTGGTCAGGCACACTTCAATCCCAGCAGTACTTGCATTGGTGGCTAGTTGGGATTTGCATTTAGAGCAGATGGATGTTAAAACTGCTTTTTTGCATGGTGATTTAGAGGAGCAGATCTACATGCGGCAACCTGAAGGTTTCACTCAACCTGGAAACGAGCATTTAGTTTGCAGATTGAAGAAATCTTTGTACGGGTTAAAACAGTCTCCGAGACAGTGGTATAAACGGTTTGACTCCTATATGATCAAGATTGGCTACAACCGATGTGAGTATGATTGTTGTGTCTATGTTAAGAGCCTTGATGATGGTTCTTTTATTTTTCTATTACTGTATGTTGATGATATGTTGATTGCTGCGAAGAACATGGATGATGTTATCGGTTTGAAAACTTTATTGAGTCAGGAATTTGATATGAAAGATTTAGGTGCTGCAAAGAAAATTCTTGGAATGGAAATTTGCAGGGACAGAGACTCAAGGAAACTGCGGCTATCTCAACGGGGTTATGTTGAGAAAATGCTAGAAAGGTTTGCGATGAGCAGCGCAAAACCAGTTAGCACTCCATTGGCGAATCACTTTAAGCTCTCATCAGAACAGTGCCCCAAGACAGATAAGGAAGCTGAAGATATGGCAAAGGTTCCATATTCTAATGCTGTTGGCTGCTTGATGTATGTGATGGTATGTACTCGTCCTGATTTAGCTCATGCTGTTAGTCAAGTTTGTAAGTACATGTCTAAACCTGGTAAGCAACATTGGGAAGCAGTCAAGTGGATCTTTCGGTACTTAAAGGGTACTGTGGGACATGGAATTGTTTTTGGGAGTCAGCGGGATAATCCTTTGGTTGTAGGATATGTGGATTCAGACTATGCATGTGACTTGGATAATAGAAGATCTACGACAGGGTATATCTTTACTCTTGGTGGAGGGCCTATTTGTTGGAAGTCTACTGTTCAATCTATTGTGGCTCTATCTACAACTGAAGCTGAGTACATGGCAGCGGCTGAAGCTGCAAAAGAAGCTTTATGGCTTACTGGTTTAGTGAAGGAGTTGGGTGTTCAACAAGGTGGAGTTCAGTTGCTTTGTGATAATCAAAGTGCTATTCACTTGGCTAAGAATCAGGTGTATCGTGCTAGAACTAAACATATTGATGTAAGGTTCCACAAGATCAGAGAGTTGGTTGCATCTGGAGAGGTTTTGTTTCAGAAGGTACATACTGATGAAAATGCCGCTGATATGTTCACTAAGCCAGTTACGACAGACAAGTTCAAGCATTGCTTGGACTTGTTGAATGTTTCGAGTTGTTAAAGAAGCAAGGTAACCCAACCCACATTGAAGTTTCCAAGGGGCAGGATATTCGCCAAGGTGGAGATTTGTTATGTATGGCTCATAAAAAGTCTCGTTGTGGGGTTACGAATTATGTGGGTTGGGGGTGTGGAGGCGCAGCCTCCGCGGTACGGTACAGGGTTGATTTTGTAATTATGTACCAGGGTTTTCTATTATAAATAGAGATGTAACCTAGACCTAAAATATCATTGAATAAAACTTCTAGCGCTGCCTAGGCACCGAGGACGTAAGCACATTGCCGAACCTCGTAAAATTCTCGTGTTCTTTCGTTTTCTTTACCCGTTTTCGTCAACATGAACAAATTCATATATCCAACAAAAAAATATTTAATTCAAATAAAAATAAACAATAACACTTGAATTTATTAGAGAATAACTATTTATTCTAATTTAAATGTTATAAAAAGGCTTAATACAAAAATAAGTGATCAAATTATACCAAAAATTAACTTTAAGTGCCTAAAGATTTTTTCGTTTAAAATAGGTACCTATCATTTCTAATATTATACATATAGGTGTCTACATCATAACGGTCGTAAAAAAATCGTTTAGTGACACGTGTCATGTTTATATTTTTTAAATAAGAGAAAATAACCTCAGTGACCAAAAATCCTAGATAATATACGATTTTGACCAACTTTTTTTGGATTTGCGAAAATGACCAACAAAATCGCAATGCGATCTCTAATTCGCATTGCAATCTCCACTATTGCAAATTCGCGTTGCATTTCGGGTCGGGTCGTGGTCGTGGTAATACGTGTCTTCGACACATCCGCGCGGATACTATCTTTTTAGAGAAAATTCTTTAAAAACAAAATCTTTTTTTTTTGAACTATCACAACGAATTTTCGCAACGAATTTGGAAAATCGCAACGACAACTGTAGACTATCGCAACGCGAAATGAAAAATCGCAACGCGATTTTCAACTATCGCAACGCGAAATGCAACGCGAATTTGCGATAGTGTAGATCGCAATGCGAATTAGAGATCGTATTACGATTTTGTGGTCATTTTCGCAAATCCAAAAAAAGTTGATCAAAATCGTATATTATCTGAGATTTTTGGTCACTGAGGTTATTTTCTCTTTAAATAAAACTTAAGAATATTATTAATTTAAAAGAAACTCAATTTTTTTTTTGAAATTATAAAAGAACCCCATAAAATCTTCAACTACCGTCACTGAACGTCCACCCACCTGTCGCCCCACTAACCTATCATCGCCCTTATTATTACCCCGAACCCCTTAAATTTCAAAACTGATAAATCTTAACCCTATATTTAATTCTAAATTTTAACTTTTAACTTCATCGAAGATTTTTTGTGTGGTGTCGTCGGGATTCAACTTTGTCGGGGTTGTTTGTTCGCGTTCACACTTCGGAGATTCAACTTTTGGAGCCTGTCGTGTTTACACTCGGGGGTGGTTTCAATTTTTACGTCGACAAACGAGCGAGGGTGGGGGTTACTAATTTACTATGTCAATGTTATGGATTGAGACTTAAGAGAAGAAATTATCGAAGATGAGGTTTTAGAAGAAGGAAAGAAAGGAGATTACAGAAAATGAATATTCAGTCATTTCTTTTCATAATCATTCGTCTGTTTACATTGCCTTTATTTACATACAATCCTGATAGATTCTGTTATGCCAGCTGGACATCTCTCTAACCAATTCTGTTATGATAACAGGAATTGGGCTTCTGCTGGGCTTCCTTTGCTCCACCCGTATCTGCTGGACCAATTGCCCCCGTGATCCTCACGTGCCTTGCTCCCAGGTAATTACTTCCCAATTCTATCTCAATCCCTAACCCTTGATTATTCATTTCCCCCAATTCTCCCCATTCTCCTTCGATACTCTTCTTTCGTCCTCCATCTTCTCCCTCTCGTCTTCCCTCTCTAATCGTGACAATACCCACCCCATCAGACGATCCTTGTCCCCAAGGATCAAATGACGGAAACTGCCCTCGCAGCACTAAATAGTCTTCCCAAGTGTCATGCATCTCGTCCAGGTTAGTCCACCGAACCAGCAACTGTGTAATCGGTTTACTGTGTCGATTAACAATCCTTCTGGCTAATATTTTGTTGGGTTCTATCCGAAACTGACCCTCATCATCCATCGTATGAGGATTTGTGGAGGTTGCTGCATCAGGCCCAACATGCTTCTTCAATAAACTGACATGAAATACTGGGTGCAACCTCGAAGAATCTGGTAAGTCAAGTTTGTAGGCTACTTCCCCAATTTTTTCAATAATCTTGTAAGGGCCAAAAAACCTTGCTGCTAATTTCAAAAAATTTTTCAGGGCGATAGAAGTCTGTCGATACGGCTGCAGTTTCAGGTAAACAAAATCCCCAATTTGAAATACTCTTTCTGATCTGTTTTTATCAGCTTTCTGTTTCATTCTATTACTGGCTTGCTATAATTGAATTTTCACCAATTGTCGAATGTCTTCCCTGTTTCTCATTAACTCTACTACTGCATGTACTTGAGTGTCTGTATACCAAACCATGGTAGGGGCTTGTAGCCATAGAGAGCCTGAAAAGGTGTTAGTTTTAAGGCAGTATGGTAGGTAGAATTGTACCACCACTCAGCATGTGACAACCATTTAGCCCATTGCTTTGGTTGGTAAAAACACAACCCTCTTAGGTATTGCTCTAAGCACTGATTTACCCTCTCTGTTTGTCCATCCGTTTCAGGATGATAAGTAGTGCTAAAGAGGGTCTTAGTCCCTAAGAGCTTCATTAGTTCTCTCCAAAAGAGGCTGGTAAAGGTCTTGTCTCTGTCTGAAATGGCCATTTTAGGCTGGCCATGAAGCTTATATATGTGATCCAAATATAATTTAGCCACCTCAGCTGCTGAGTAAGGGTGTGATAGAGCTAAAAAGTGACTATATTTAGTAAACTTGTCAACCACCACAAGAATACAATTCTTCCTGAAAGATGTAGGCAAGCCTTCAACAAAATCCATAGTGATAACTTCCCAAGCTTGCTGAGGTATAGGTAATGGTTGTAGTAGTCATGGTTTAGCAATATGTTCCACCTTAGTTTGTTGGCAGACGGCACAAAGTTTAACATAATTGACCACCATAGTTTTAAGTCTAGGCCAATAGAAGTAAGATTTAATTCTCTGATAAGTTGCTTGACTTCCAGAATGACCCCCATGAGGTGAGTCATGTAATGTCTGAAGAATATGTAGTCTAAGAGATCCAACCTCCCCAATATAAACTCTATCCTTATATCTAAGGATTCCTTTTGAATATCTCCATTTATTATCAGCAGTAGCATGAACAGCCAATTTGGTGATCCAATCAGTAGCCAATAAATCTCCCTTATAACTAGCCTCCACCTCCTGCACCCAACTCGGAATAATTATAGTTGTGCCCATAACCAAACACTGTCCCTGATCCTCCCACTGTCTAGATAATGCATCTGCCACCACATTTGATTTCCCTTTTCTGTACTGTATAGTATAATCGCCCCAAAAGCTTGGTCAATCATCTCTTTTGAATTGTAGTGGTCAACTTCTGCTCCAAAAGATACTTTAGAGGTTCATGGTCAGTCTTAATGACAAAAGGATTACCCTCTAAGTAATGTCTCCATTTAGATATTACTAATAGGATAGCCAAATATTCTCTTTCATAAATAGAAAGAGTAGCATTTCTTGGACTAAGGGCCTTACTCAAAAATGCTATAGGTCTACCATTTTGAGATAAAACAACACCTATACCTCCTGAACTTGCATCTGTCTCCAAATAAAAATTCTGAGTAAAATTTGGAAGAGCCAAAACAGGAGCAGTGGACATGGCTCTTTTAAGATCTTCAAAAGCAGTCAAAGCTGCAGTAGTCCACTTAAAATTGTCTGCTTTAAGCATTTGTGTTAGTGGCCTGCTTATAGCACCATAATCTTTAATAAATCTTCTATAATAGCCTGTTAATCCCAAAAATCCCCTCAAAGACTTCAAAGATTTAGGGAGAGGCCAATTCTTCATTGCTTCCACTTTACTGGGATCAATAGCAACACCTGCTGCTGAAATAATATGTCCCAAGTATTCCACTTGGGTCTTAAATTCATAGTGGCCTTGATGAGTTCTGAATGCAGTTTTGTGAATATCTGCATCCTTAATTCTGATTTGCCAATAACCTGATCTGAGGTCAATCTTTGAAAAGTACACAGCACCATATAATTCATCTAATAAGTCCTCCACAACAGGAATAGGAAATTTATCCTTAATAGTCATGTTGTTTAGTTGCCTGTAATCCACACAGAACCTCCAAGAGCCATCTTTCTTCTTAATTAGGAGGCATGGAGAAGCAAATGGACTCCTACTAGGCTGAATAATAGAAGAAGATAACATAGTAGCAATTTGTCTTTCCACCTCAGCCTTCTGGTTGTGGGGAAATCTGTAGGGCCTGAGATTGACAGGAATTGAATCAGGTTTAAGGGGAATACCATGGTCCTGGTTTCTTACTGGTGGAAGACCTCTTGGCTCCTCAAAAATAGCCTTGTAGCTTTCTAGGAGAGATTGAATAGCTGCAGGAATAGGTTTAGAAGCTTCTGTCATAGATAATAATACCATATGTCCCAAAATAACAGAATCTGAAGCTGTCATTTTCAATAAAGAAGCTCCTGAAATTTGCTGCAAACATGAAGATGGTTGTTGACCATGTATAACAATTTGTCCATCTTGATGAACAAAACTGAGAGTCATTTTGTTGAAATCCATCAAAATTGGACTAAATAATTTCATCCAATCTACTCCCAATACCATATCACTCCCTCCCATCTGTAAAAGTCTGAAATCATGAACAAAAGAGTGTCCTTGCATTTGCCATCCAACTTTATTACACCTTGCTGTACTATATAGTTGTTGACCATTTGCCACTGTAATAGCCAAAGGGTAAGGTGTATTTACCTGTATACCAGCCTTAGCCCACTGTGGTGTTAAAAAACTGTGGGTACTACCACTTTCAATTAGAATATTCATTAGTTTGCCTAGGATACTGCCCTGAATTCTTAAGGTGTTATGACCAATACACCCAGTGATAGCATTCATAGATATTTCTAGGCTCTCTTCCTCCTGTATAACTTGCTGTTCTGAATCAGTAGGTAGAGTATCTGAAGGCAGAATAATATCTTCTTCAATCATCATGTTCAATTGTTTTGCTTTACATTGATGGCCTGGAACAAATTTCTCACCACACTTAAAGCACATATTATTTTGTCTTCTGTACTCTATTAAATTCTGTTTTGGTGGCAAGGTGGGTGAACTCTTTTGTGGAATTGGTAACTGAGTTGGTTTAGAAATAGGTAGGGAATTTGGGTAGGATGGGTTTCTAAAAGTTGGCCTCATTCTCTTACTTTCAAATTCAACAGACAATTCATACAGTTTAGCTTGCCTGTATGCTTCAGATAGTGTCTTATGGTCTAGTGCCTTGACTCTATGTTTAATATCATCTCTTAATCCACTAAGAAATAGAGAGACAAAGAATTCCTCACCTAGTGTAGGATTCTGTAAGAGCATATGAGGCTGCAGTTCTTCAAATATGTCCTGATACTCCTCCACAGAACCTTTCTGTACCAGCTTAGTAAACTCTTCCACTATATCAGCAAACGCCTTATCACAGAACCTATGACATAGGTCTGCCTCAAACTCATGCCATGTAACATGATGTTTTTGCATGATGTAGCCATCAAACCAAATTTCTGCTTTACCTGTTAAGTACATTGTAGCTATTTCTACTCTTTGTTCCTCAACAATACTACATAATGAGAAGTACTTTAGGCATTTATGTATCCACCCTCTTGGATTACTACCCTAAAAAAAAGGTAACTCTATTTTAGGCCTGTGCATCATAATCCCTGAAGTATTACAAGACCCCCCTGTGCCTCTTCTATCCATATCTAAACCCACTGTATTGTTCTTAACAGCACTGTTCTCCCCCACTTGAATATCATTTTTGTAGCTGGTTATGTGAGTAGGCAACTCATTTGGCTTAGATTTTAGAATTCCAGGCTCATCAGGTTTATAAGTAAACCTATTTTTGTCATTAACCACTGTAACCTGTACAGCATGTTTCCCACTCGTGTTAGATAAATTAGGGGTCTGTACCTGTTCCTCATCAGGCTGATTTTGATCCCCTTTTCGGCCAGTCAAAATCTTCAAAAGCTCTTCCACGTACCCTTGATTTGTAGCCATTCTAGACTCCAAGGCAGTGATACGCTCCTCTTGATTCTCCCACCATTTAGGGGTCTTGGTTTCATCCTGAGTCTGCTTGACCAAAGCAGTCAATTCCTCCAATTGTTTCTGTAGTGCTGTAAAATCTGCTGATTCAGTCATGGTCTGGTTTTTCTTTGGCATTACAACGTCAATAGCCAGGAAAATTCAGGCTCTCGATACCAATTTGCTATGGATTGAGACTTAAGAGAAGAAATTATCGAAGATGAGGTTTTAGAAGAAGGAAAGAAAGGAGATTACAGAAAATGAATATTCAGTCATTTCTTTTCATAATCATTCGTCTGTTTACATTGCCTTTATTTACATACAATCCTGATAGATTCTGTTATGCCAGCTGGACATCTCTCTAACCAATTATGTTATGATAACAGGAATTGGGCTTCTGCTGAGCTTCCTTTGCTCCACCCGTATCTGCTAGACCAATTGCCCCCGTGCTCCTCACGTGCCTTGCTCCCAGGTAATTACTTCCCAATTCTATCTCAATCCCTAACCCTTGATTATTCATTTCCCCCAATTCTCCCCATTCTCCTTCGATACTCTTCTTTCGTCCTCCATCTTCTCCCTCTCGTCTTCCCTCTCCAATCGTGACAGTCAACTACATTTTTAGGGTAAATTAAATTTGGACCCCATTCTTAAATTTTTGGATCCACTACTTGTTCTGCTCTATTTGGCCTTTGGTCGATAACATCAACTGTGACTAACAGCGATGGCGGGGACGTTGACAATGGCCGTGACGTCCCCTAAATTGTCGTCTTTTTTGCCGGTTAAGACATGAACGGGAGCCGGAAGGAAAGACTATAAGTAGTTAAGCTAACGTTTAATGTATTATTTATATTTATTTATTATTTGTATATTGTATTAATAAATTATTTTATTATATGTAGGTGTACTTTTTTTTACCAAGTTTTATGTTTCTTGTTTGGAGACTGAGAAAATGAGTGAGATTGAAAGAAAACAAAGGTAACACTACCTTGACATTCTCGATAGTTTTCAATGATAAGGAATCTGATTGTTTGATAGTGAAAACTCGTTTTTTTATGCAACATAATTTTTTATTTTACTCTCTATACTTTTGTTATGTTAGAAAGGTTTACAATATAATATTTATTTAGATTTTTTTAGTTTATTTTTTGTTGTTGAAGAAAGACAGAACGGAGTAGTTTATGCTATTCTACAGCTCTCCTTGTGAATTTTAGCTTTCAATTCATCTGGTGCCTGGTGGAATTCATGCAGGCCACGAGGTAAGTTCCATGCAAGCTTGGCTAGGGAATGAGCTACCTTATTGCTTTCTCACGGGACGTGCTTGACTTGAACGTCCCGGTCCTTCTCGAGCATAATGCAGATATGTTGGACAGTGGTTAGTCTCTTGTTGCTTCCCGGTCTCTCCCTTATTAGATTGATAGCTTCTCTGCTGTCAGTTTCAAGCTGGATTTGTCTAGTTCCAAGCTTCCACGCAGTCTAGAGCCCCTCGTAGATTCCTCAAAGCTCTGCTTCCAAGGCCGAGCAGATGCCGATTATCTTTGTATAGCCTAATATCCAGTTTAATTTCGTCATGGTCTCTCATGATGCCTCCACATGCAGTTTTATCCGAGGAGTTTTTTCGTGTACCATCTGTGTTAATCTTTACCCATGGAGCACTAGGTGCCTGCTATTTCTCTTCCTTCCGAACCTGACCCTTTTGCGTGGTTGTAAGTTTCCTAGAATTCAAAAACTCCTGGGTCATTCTTATTCCCCTTTCGAGTGTCGACTCTATTTCCTCTGCCTCAAGATCAAATATAGTTTTGTTTCTCCTGTCCCATAGCGCCCATAGGAGGGAGCCAAAGAAGGTTGGCCAATCACCACCTTCATTTGTTTTCGTTGATTTCTCCAGGTTTTCCATGAGCCAGGTTTTTAAGGTCGCTAGTAAGGATATTTGGGTACTAAACGTGGTCAAAACGAAACTAGAACGATTTAAAAAAAATAGTTAGATGACTGAAATAGAATAAAAGTGATAGTTGAAATATTAAATACGTAGTTTATCATAAAATTTAATTATATAAAAATAATATTTTAATTGAATATTTTAAAAGTTGGAACGCTTTATAGCATGTTAAGCCTAATTTATATAATTTCTCATTATTTTAAACTTATTTTAGTAACCAAGAAAAACAAAACATCAATTATAACAAGCTTATCAAATTATAAAGAAATTCCGAGCACAAAAAAATTGTCTAGGTACCCACTGTTCTTCCTCTTCTTCCTTTGTTCCTCGCCTTTGATCTTAACTCAAAACAATGACGACCCAACAATCAAAACCATGCACGATTTCTCTGGGTACCCACTTGATGAGCCATCTAGTCCTTTTAGTTCATCAGAATCGAATTCAAACTCACTTTCAGTTGATGCTCAAGCACTTCAGAAGCAGGTTCTTTTAATCCACCCATCTTTTGTTTTTTTGTGTTTTAGGGTTTAATTTTGTGAAATGGTTTTTTTTAGATTGATGAGCTATCAACTTTCTCGGATACCCCCGCCCCATCAGTTACTAGGATTCTCTACACTGAGAATGATGTATTGGCTCGCAGGTAATTCTTGTTGTGTTTGTATATTTTTCTGTTTGTAATCGTGTAGGTTTATATAATTTAGTATTGTAATGATTCTGAAATAGTGGTGTATTTATGTGATTTTTTTTTGGGTGTAGTGTTTTTTTATTGGGTTTTAGTTATAATAAGAATCGAATTTTACATTGCAGGTGATGAATAGACATATTCGTTTATAATCTATTTTGATCCAACTCTTCATTTTTGTTGAATTAACCATAGCCGACGCTCCTGTTTAATTTATGGGAGATACGGATATCATCTCAAGGATCCTCCAAATATAGACTTAGAAAAATCGGACCATGTTTTGCCCAACATCTACATATATCGACATTGACACATGAGTTCGAGTAACATGGCTTGTAATGAAAAATTATCTTTTTCTTAACGAAACAAATAAAAGAGAGAGAAAAACGGAAACTTAGTTAAGTTGTATTTACAATTATATTCCTACATCCCGGTAATCCTTGATGCAGTTGCAATGTCTCAATTCTGGGTGTCGTAAATATATGCAGTTGTGGATGTGCATGTGGTATCGTTATAAGGAATTTGGTTGTGTCATAGATGTTACATGATGGGAAAAGGGCGATGCAAAAATTACAATTTCCATTGTTTCATGTCCCTTTACATTACATAATGACTTCATTTTAGAACTATGTATACGGTCCAGGTTGGATGAAGTTAAAAGGAGCATGGAACTTGGAACAATGTTTTCCCGTGCGTGTTTACTGTGAATTCTATCAAATTTTGTTTTGTGTTTTTCATGAAATTTCCCTGTAACATTTAATTACAGGTACATAAAAAATTTAATAGGGCTTGCTGGGCTTTCCGTGAGAGAGGATGCTGTGGGTAACATTTTTGGTCGGTGATGGGTTTGTTCTTCATTTTCTATTGTCAATTTTCCCATCTTAAAGATTGTTCTCATTATTGTTGATTTCTCATAATTTTCCCATCTCTTCATTGTTTTTCTTTTAATTATTCATATCCGATACATGTAGGGACATGGATATGGGATATAAATATAACCTTCTAAGGACCCTCCAAATACCCAGAAAAACTTGAAAATTTACACGTGTTTTCTATTCATTTGTTTGTTTGATTCGCTCTACAGATATAACTATTATGGTTCAACTGTCAAATATGCTTTATCTTGATTATTCATTACACTAGGTTGATGATTTGTACCAGTTTCATGTTGTTAATTATCAATGGAGGCTATACAAGTTTGAAGAATAGCTGGTCGTGTTTGTGTTTTGCTGAGAGCTTGATGATTGATTTTTCTTTACACTTAGTTTCCTCATGCTGTTGTCATGCAACTGTTGTAATATCTGCTACTGCTCTCGTCATATTTCCAATTTGCATTTAATCTTCAAGCTTACATTAATATCAAGACCTTCAATATTTTGGATGATGTGTTCTTTGCTTTGTTTCAATTCTTTGAATGCTTTTTACGATACAGGGATGGCTATGAACCGGAGCTTACTGCAGTGGCAACAGGTTCTTACATCGATGCCATTCCATATTCTGGGAAATATGATGGTGTTTTAGGTGCAATAGAAGCCATTAATGCACTAAAGAGGTTCATAAGTTTTCACTGATGTGAATTTTTACCTTTACAATTCAACCCTAATTTAAATGTCACTTTTTGAAGTATTTGATTCATTAACTAGCAAAACGAAACAATCTTTATTTCAATGAATGTATATCCTTTTCTATGATCTTTTTATTGGGATTACTGCAGGTCTGGGTTCAAACCTAAAAGGTCATTAGAGAGAATTTTATTTACTTCTGAAGAGCCGACACGCTTTGGGATTGGCTGTTTGGAAAGGTTAGCATGACCAAGTAATAGGCTTTTCAGTTTTGCAGATTTAAGTAGCTCAAACTATGCTTATGTGACTTTTCAGTTATTTTTTGAAGTACCCATGCCCGACACCTATATTGACAATTTTTTTTAGATATATATTGACAAATTTTCATATATGGATGTGGGGGCCATGAGCCTCCAAAGACTCTCCAAATACATAAAAAAGTATAGAAAAATTGAGCATACTTGTGTCGGAAATGTATCTGGCACTCACATATGAGTCTGAGTGACATAGAACTTCAACATATGCCTCATAGCTAGGGGTTACTTCCTGGCTTATGTTTGAAGTCTCTGATATGTTTTGTCAACACGCAGCCGTTTATTGGCAGGTGGTGAAATACTTGCTGAAGCTTTAAAGACGATGGTTGATGGTCAAAACATATCATTTTTGGAAGCCGCAAGATCTTCTGGTTATGCGAGAGGTGAAGGTGATTTATCCAGTGTGTTTCTGAAGAAAGACAGTTACTCTGCATTTGTTGAGTTGCATATATAGCAAGGGCCGATTCTCGAGGAAGAAGGTATCTTGCTTTCGAATTTTAAGGTTTTCTCTTTCATACGGTATATCAGAATTGGCTAATCCGTATTATTCCTAAATTCAGGTATATCTATCGGTATAGTTACTAACATTGCAGCCCCTGCAAGTATAAAAGTAGATTTTGAAG